GACAGATTTACCAGCCGATTTACAGCCGCGGACACGGTTCGCCCCATGTACAGGACAGTTACGTAACGCACGAGCCAGAGGCGTGTTTGATGTCGGTTCATTCAGTCGTAGCGCCAGTCCATCGACCGGCGAGAATCTGCTCGTACTGTTACACACGACAACGTACTGAAGAAAGTCTCAATTTCGGACGATTCTGCTGGAATCCGTGTTTGAGATATTTACGCGAGCAATTGGCACGCACGCGCGAGGTGTTACGCGGCTTGTTGTTGTTGCTCGTTTGAGAAGGATGGTTTCGCGAGAATTTCTTTTTCGCGAGGCATTTTTAACGGGGCTAGGAGAGGGGCTGGGTGGTATTTAAACAAGAAACACACACACAGAGAGGCACACAGAGGGGGAGGCACGATACGGAGGAGGAGAGCGAGCGTTCCAAAAATGCGAGGATAGAAACGCGCGCGGGCCTGAAATAGTTCTCGGAGTACGTCGAACTTTAAGTACAGTACATAAAGGCACGTGCACAATGCCAGCCACTCGATACGGCTCGGCCATGCGTGTTACGATTGCGGTCAGCCGCTCACGTAACAGCCGACCGTTGATACCGTTATCGGACCGACACAGGCATTTCGAACCGGTCTCCGATTTCGTTTCCCGCTCATTATGCAATTGGTCCGCGATAACGCGACCGCCAACTGAAAAACAAAGAAATACGGGGGAACGCGCGCGACACGCATCGACACCCTGTCTTCTCTCTCGCTTTCTCTCTCTTTCTTTCTTTCTTCATCTATCTTTGTCGTTTCACTCGTTGTTCACGCCTCGATACGTTATTTTGCGTATCCTGTTCGATTTTTGTAGTCGAGTACAGTTAAACGAAACGGTTACGCAGCAGCGTTTCACGTACGTGACACGGGGAGAAGGTGGGTGGGTGGGTGGGCGGGTGGAGGGTGGGGAGGGCGAAGTGTAGGTACTACCGTACGGTGATCTTGAAATCTCAGGACGTTAGCGTATGCAACGTGACGTAACACAAGTCTGAGAAATTGTACAATAGTCAGATAAACGTGCAACGAACTGAAAGTTGGAGTTGTCGTTAGACGATTGATCGATTCAATGAGTCGACTCGTTTTGTTCCTGAACCAGACTCCGCTTCGAACTTACGTAACGCGTATCCCAGCGCGCGACAGGGAGGAATTGGGCATTTCTCCTTCTCGTGAAATCATCTCGACTTATAGGATGAAATCACTTAATTGGACCGCCTAGTACGGTCTTACTTCGCCGATTGTTGTTTCCACTTCGCTTTCGACGACACGTTCCAATCTTGGATCTGCCCAACTATCCCGATTAGTTTCGTGACACACGTGCAAAACCACGACGGTTCTCCTCGTTATCTCGTCCAGGGAATTGGCGATAACGATAAAAATAGACAGCGCGCAAAAAAAAAAAAAGGAAAAAAAAAGAAACGACAAAGCGCAATGCGCAATTAGTTCTTGTCATCTGTCGTAATTGCCAGGCTTATCTGAATTCGCGCGCGTTCCACGTGAGCCATCGGCGATCTGTCGGTCGCGTTTCTCGGCCGTCGACACGTGACCTGAGGTAACGTGTTGCCTCGTCCGCGAATATACGTTTTCCCTACCGAACGCAGCCAGCGCGTTGTTACGTAACGGAACACGTGGAACGGATACCAACGACGAACGAGACGACTATACTCGTTGGTAGAGATTTCCGTGCACGTCGTAAATTTTCCGCGGATCGTCGACGATAAAACACCACCATGGGGGTGCCCCATCTCTTGCCGAGAGATCGATCTCGACTGGGGAACTGGTCGAGGCGATAGGAGAATGGGTCGAGTGGGCGTTTCGTCTGATAAACAATGCGAGACCGGCTTAAGAAATAACACGCGGTGCGTGATGCAACTGCACTGCAGCAAGCATAGAAATGCTCGAGCAATTCGCGTGCAAGATCGCGCGCGCGCGCGTGCCTTTTCTATCTATTGCCGCTGCTGTGCTCTCCCGCCACGTGACTCCTACACGTGCACGCCGTGTTATGCTAGACCGTTCACCTTCGTTGCATAATAGAAACGCGAAAAGGTCATCGGGAACAACGGAGCTTGATATTTCTTAATATGATTGATAAATCGCGGGCTCGATCACGCCGATCGGTCAACCACGGCTCGATCGCGGCCGTTCCAACCATCTCTTGCTGCGATTTTTCCCCTTGTACGGGCATCGGTGAACGCGTTTTTCGATTTTTTCGTAACGTTGCGCGAACTGTGCCGAGATCGTGTGAAATTAATCAGTGATTAAGGTTGAAAACCGTAAGAGTATAATATTACGTGGTATGTACCGATTCTAGACAAACGCCAAGATTAACACGCGAGAACGTTTCATATTTTGCGCGTCGATCGATCCTTGATTCGCGGTTTTCACGACGTGTTCCACAGGTGAATATGAAGTGCCATTACCTGCCTGTTAAATCGGATACAAAAACTCAGAAGCGGTTATCACGGTGCACGTGATATGATAAAATGTTTTTTTCTTGTCTTCTTTTCAAACTCGATGTGATCGATGAACGATGACGCAATGCACAATATCTGAGACGGCGAGTACTCGACACACGCGAAAGTCGATGTATCGTGTTCTACACGTACACCGAAGAAACCGTATCGACGGGAGGATAGTATTTGACGATTCGTCGCCGGCTATGCATACCGTGGTACTGCGTTCGCGCGCCTCTTTGTACGCGAATATAATACCCTCGCGTCATGCATTTCCGCGAACCGTAGATACCGCTAATCCGGATTGATGTGACACCAAACAATCTAGATCGGCCGCTCGAGATAACGAGCCGCGTACAATGCGAATCCATCAGGTTCTTTACTCCCCACCCCCTCCCGCCACGAACTTGGACTTCGAGTTTCGATATCACTCGATATCGTCGCGTCATGTTGCGCAACTTTGGAAATTTCACGCGGTAAAAAGAGGTTGGAAGGACGAAGAACCGAATCGCCCGTATATATACCTATAGATGGTAATGACCTCTGGATTCTGTCCGATTGCGTCACCTTGCGAGCTGATACGCGATAAACGAACACGAAGTGCCGATGACAATGGCGGACAGATAAATCATTGGTAGATAATTCGACGTTGCTAATATCGCCGGTGACGTTTGCCAACATCGATAACGCCGTGTATGTGTAAAAACAGGATGCAACGGGCACGCTTTTGATTTGCAATCGATAATCGCGCGATCGGTTGCAACAAAGGTCGCAATCGACTCGATTTTACCTCCGTTTACGTGTCCAAACGCACGTTTACCTAGTCGATCGTATTTTGCAATTTCTATTTTGAGGTAATCCCCGTTTTATCACTGTTTGTCACCGCGATAACATTGCTAACCTGCATTACCGATGCTCACCGACAACCGCGCGCAGCACCGAAAATTACAAATCGTTCGCGACTGTAATTTTCGGATTTCGCGGCGTAATTATTCCGGTCCTAGATTTCAGAGAACCTACGTGAACGCGGAGAATTTTCGACAAACGAGCGAACATTTCGTTGTCGATTGTCGCCCTTTTGTCGCTCGTTTTCGTATTCGCAGAAGCCAGCCAACGTGTATCTTGGTACACGTGCGTGCCCTTCGCTTCAAGTCCGTGAAGCTTATTGCACACACGCTTTACGCTACGACGAGGTTGAGAGTTCTGCAAATTAGGCCGTGGCCCACTTCGGCCGCGATAGAGAGAAGGTGGCGGCGGCGGCGGTGGCAGTGGCAACAAGAGGAGAGTAGTAGTGGGATCGATCGAGAGGATGGTGGGATATACAGAGCGCGAAACACGAACAAGAAGGGGGGCTCGGCCGAACAGTTCCCGTTTCGAGCGAGGATCGCGATCGATCGAGCAGTCTTCGAAGCAACGAACGAAAAAAGAAAAATAGAAAAACTCACGAGAAACGGCAACTTCGTCTCGCCTTAAATTCCTTCCATTTCGATTTGGCTGTCGGGAAACGTGTCGCGCGTTTTAAACTGGAGTGTCCTTTCAGGACGCGTGATCCTGTCAGTGATTCGATTTGGAAAACGACGTGATACCGTCCCCGTAGGTTACCGTGTTCCCCCACAGATAAGGATCAGAGTCTTCTTCGCTTCGTCACGAATGACGCAACTGCCGCGTTGCTCACGCGTTGCACGAGACTTTCGTAAGCGCGGCGTTTCCTCACTCCGCTCGCCGTTCGTTGCCTCGCCGATCGAAACGTTCCCCAACCCGTCACAACAAGACGATATTTTTCATATTCTCTCGTCCTCTGATTTTGGAGCAGACCAAACGCGTGATTCTTTCTCTCTCTCTCTCTCTCTCTCTCTTTCTTTCTCTGTCTCTGTTGCTCTCGTTGAATAAAATGTGACCGATGTTCGAGAAACGACGATTCGGTGATTCAGGCTCGGCTGATAACGCGATAAGATACGCCGAATCGATTGGAACGAAAACAATGAGCGCGCGCGCGAGTTTAACGCGCCCGCGAACTGCAACGTACGACGTTGCGTCGATCGAAGGTCAGAGTCCCCGGGGCGTTCAGGGTCGTTTCACGAATATCGACGATCGCGATCTCCGATCGATTCGCCGAGCGTGCACAAGTACATGTCCGTCTGACGTAACCCGTCGAAAGTTCACTTTCGACTCGGCAGGATTTTTATCGCTCGGTGGTATGCGCGTAATTCGAAGGGCGAAGCTTCGTGTTCTCAAAGTCCGGCGGGAAATCGGCCGGTCGTAGCTCGATCCGAGCACGTACCCGCGATAGTTGCTTTCGACTTGGGGGCTTTAGTTCAAAGTCCTTGCCGCGTGACAAGTTACCAGCAGATAACGCTCTACAAATTATTACAAGGCCACTCCGCGCATAGTCGCGAGTATTTGTTTCCGGTTTTTTCGAGGGGACAAGAACAAACGGCGGCGATTCCTCGAGGAATCGTTCTCGATCGAAACTCGCGACCAAGGTCTCGTAAACGTTGCATTTGCGAGTACTCACCAATTTTGAAAGATTCTGTCGAGCACGATCGAACGACGGAACAGCGATCCACTTTGCCTCGTCTCTCAATTGATGAAAACAGAGACGGTGCGGCGCACTCGTCGATTTGAAACGGTTGTGTACAGTTTGTCCGCGAGACACGGAGGCAGTCACTGGCCGAGCGTGAGGTATCCCGTTCGTCGAACCAACGTAACGAGAGCCACCGTCATAATAACGCCTGTTGTCGCGGCCGGCGATCAAAATCCTTCGACGTTTCCCCTCTTCCACGGGTAAATCCAAGCGAGTCCCTCGAGAGTGTCGTGTCACACAAAACGGAGATGCGGAGTGTTCGAAAGAATTGAAAAAAACAAACAAAAAAAAAAAAAAAAAAAAGAAGAATCGTGTCCACGATGCGGTAAACTCCGATACGTATATCTCTCCTCAAATCGTACAGTTTCCTTCTTTCTCGCCGATGGAGAGAATAGAACGGAGGCACACGTCGAGAAACCAACGAGAAGCACTGAGCTGAGTGTTTTGTTCGCGTGTGAAAGCGCGGACTCGGTATCCAAAGACGCGAGATCCAACGCGATCTTCCTCAGCAGTGAACACGATGAACTTGAACAGTCGGCGAGCAGGTGACAGGGCGGGCTCGTGTCAGCTCCGTTTTTCGCCGATCGTCCGAGTTATTAACTCGAGTCGAGATAGAGCCGATGTGTGATTCCGCGTAAGAGAGAAACACACGTCCGTTCGCTACGGTGTCGGTCTGCAAACTGGCTGCACGCTGCGTGAGACTTGCGACTGCTGTCTTGGCCCCAATGTCGTCTGGCTTCGAGTTTGATGCGAGAAGGCTGACGCGGTCACGTGTGTCGGTGTATACGTGATCGTGTCTGCTGGCGTTGAGCTTCGATCGTAGTAGTGACGAGCTTTTTGGTGGGGGGGGAAACGCAAGTCCACCCGCCGGGGGAAGTTTATGCCTGGGTTATGCTCGGTTTATGTGCACTCCCCACCATCGGCTGTGTGCCGCACACACAGTGCCAGGCGGTTCTGCGTCAGAGTGCCGCGATCGTTCCCCTCCGCGCCGTGTTGTGCTCGCCCCCACTCGCCGGCCACGCTGGTTAGGTGCACTACGTCAGATCTTTCGGCCGTGTCGGCCGTACCGAGACCACGCACCGATTTCGCCGTACGCGCGATTAGATTGCATCGCGCAGCGATGCTGAGCGCCTCGCGTCTGATGTTTCGTCTCGGACGTCGTAACGCGCCTCTCCTTTTTTTTTTCCCCTCTTTCTTTCGTTCTCCCTTCGTTTTCGAGAATTCAAAGAATCTACGATCTCGATTTTGTGGCCCTCTTGGTCGTAAAAAAAGTAATTGGTTTTCTATTTTTCGATCTCGTTTGGTGGGGAGGGGCTGGTAGTCTTCGAAACTTTGCGACGTCCTGCGGAGGAGAAAAGTTTGATTTCCATAGGATTGCGAGACGCGAATACCGTGGCGGAGGCCGTGATTTCGCCCCACGAAAAACAAAGAGCTGAACGGGTTGTCGAGTCGAGCGAGCGCCACTTGGCCGAGTCTGTTGCAAGGACCCTCCGCCTCTTGCTTCACCTTCGTCCTCTATAAACCGAATGCCAGACAACGAGGGCATCAGCCCCCATGAATCACCGCCCGGTCACCTTCACTTTTTATGTAAGTTCGTTCTCACCCGGCCTCGCCGGTTGAACGAATCCTCGTGCCTCCTGACTCAGGATCGATACGGAAATTTGCGTTGCAACGTAATCACCTCTCCAGTCTCGTTTGTCTGGGAATTAACCGAGACGATACGACTTTGAACGAAGAAATCTTTCCTCGTATTTTCAATATTTATTTTCAAGTAGTTGCCTTATGGAATCACGTTTATATATATATATATATATAAAAAAAAAAAAAGAAACTCAAAATTCAAGTGGACCAGTTGCGGAGAATGATTGAAGTGAATTTTCGAAAGTTGTCATTTAGGCTCGTCTTAGATCTTCCCGATGTCCTAAACGTCGAGGTTATTTCTTATGGTGAGATCCGCCACGAACGTCACGTGCATCATTATTGTTAGCAACCCGAAATTGATGAGTGAAACTAGAACGACCGGCACGAATACAGACTAGCGCCAATCGTTCTATTATTATACATTTTCGCTGTAACGCGAATGATGCACAGAACGCATCGTTGTTGTTGCAAGAGCGTGCGAAAACACGTGCTATAAATCACCCTTGATGTTCGTCGGTCGCGTTCGCCGCTTTCCCGCCGCGAATTCGACAGTCCGATTTGCATAGATCGCTTGCACGCATAACGATATCGCGCGAGCGCGCGTGCTTATGGCGGGCGAATTTGGAATTTCAAGGACGCGTCGGTACGTGCGCTGCCTCGGTATCTGGCGCGTGTTGCTCTCCGCAGCGTCTCCGTGCTGCAGTTCCCTCGTGCTTCTCGCGGGTTTTTCTCATCGCGCGAGTCGGCGCGGTGGCGCCGATAAAAATAAAAACTGTGCTCGCCACCGGCGATCGATTGGGTCGATGCCAGTCGCGAAAGTAATGGGCCGTCGACGATTCCACCGGGAATTCTTTGTTAGACGACAAAGAAGAGAACACAGCGTTTCGCGGCTTTCGCCCTCCGCCGAATGTCCATCGTTCACGCGTTTCCCAATGCATCAGTCTACTCCCTAAATACAACCGTTTGTTTCTATTGCGCGACCGCGTCACAAATTTATGATTGCGTACAGCGTTTCACGCTGTTACTCTGCGCAGTAACTATTTCTAAACGGGAGATCTTCTCCGTCTTCTCGGTCGTCTTGGACACACGTGCGCCGCTCCCCCCTCCCCCGTGAAGTTATAGAGAGTGGATAAAGTTCAGGGTGAATGATGTTTATTTCAGTTCGTCTTATGGGACAATTGCAACGCGACGTACCGCGTGTACGTGCCTGTTGAATATGCAAGACCTCGCAAAAGATTCCGTTCGAATAACGGATATAGAGGCGTCGTTTCGTCGGATTATGCAACGTTCGTACCCACTCGCTGAATTTCGTTCGTCCTTTCGGAGTCCGATTGGAGTCGTGGGAATTTCTAAATCATTCAAGTGGGCGAGATAACTTTCAGTTATTCTCAGCCACGCATTCACGCTACGTTTATGCCTCTTTGCATTATTCAGGGTAATCTTCTGCAAGCCCTTCCGGAAATAGGTAACATCAGAGGGTTATGATCTAAATATATCGTTGGCATCGAGTACGGAGTAACCGTACTCGGGTTGAAAATTCTGGGTTGAAATCCAGGGTCGGAAAATGAAACTTGAAAGATAGTTTACACAAGGGAGGTGACTATTCAATAGAATTGACGATTTGAATTGCGGATGGACTTTTAATATGATTCGAAATGGTAGTATAAAAGAGTTATGCTCTTGTGAGAGCCAATTAGCAAGTCTCAGGTGACTTTATCTGCTAAAATATTTTTATAATTACAATACAACAAGCTTATCTTCGTTAAAAAGTATTTTGAATCGCGAAATGTCGACATGCAGTCACGCTACGTGATATGTTCTTGTCTACGTAAGTGTTTTCTGATTTGTTACGAAGAAGGACGCGGCAAATCTATAATAGACATTGTTATGAACTTTGTAATATATTCCTCTGACTCATATAAAGATTATATGAGAATGATATGTTAAGTTTGTTTTGATTTTTTAATTTCTTTGTTACTTGACAATGAAAAGGAAATTTATATGACACAATCTGTTAGGAAAAGCTAACAATCTGTTAGGTATAAAAATACATATATAACGTATTAGGTATACAAATATACAAAATTAACGTTATGACCATTTAATTCCAAATTAAAATTAAATTTTTCAGTTACTCAATCTTAAGAATACATTTTTGTTTATATATAGGTATAATTTATTTAGTTATTACACGGGAAAAGATCCATTTAGTAGAAGCAAGATGTGCGAGCACGTGTATGAGTAACAGTAATTTGCAAATAAAACAATGAAGTGCAGCCAGACAAAGATCTGAAGCGAGATACCAGTTTGCAAGTGTTTAAGTAATTGAGCTGAGTGATAAAAAAAGATCAGTGGCGCATCGCCATTATTCGATTAAAGCAGTTAAAATAACCATACAACGAACGACGATATTTGATTTGCATTAATTCAGATTGACGTACGTTTTTGAATGGAACATTGAATGAAAATCTTTTTGCATGCCATTGATATTAGCTATTACACATAGTGAAAAGTCAGGCGAATTTACGTTAAACTTTATTGGAAAAATTGATTTGTATTTTGTAATAGGCAGATTTTGAACTTATTCGAAAATTAGTCTAATCACTGGCATTGATATTAATTAACAGTTGTATTGAAAAATGTAACTTATCACGTTCTACCCCTGTGCTCTTCACATTGAAACTTTTATGTAATTCCATCATCAATTGAATTGAATGATGTCTCTTGTTGAGGAACCCTCTAACATCATCGATTCTTTGAATCTTTCACAGAAATGGCCAGATACACTGCCAGTTCCATGATACATTGATATATTTCTACGCCAACAGCGCCAAAAGCGATTAATTAAGCAATATAAGCGAGATAGTCTCCTAGCGTTGCGTATCGGGCACGTTTCTCTCGACTTTTATCAACGGCATAATCCGCGACGTTTATATTGCATCGGCCGTCGAGGCGATCTTACGCGTGGAAAAAAAGCTCGTTATAATTAATCCTGCTCCTTTCTCTACTCTCCCATCTTTCAGTATCATGTGCTCAAAGGGGACAATCGCCTAGGCGAAACAATGGCGATCCGTGTTCGAAGAAGTGTTGGAGAAAATTTCCGCTTTATTTTTCGCACGTGTTCGCGAAATCGGTTTTCGTTTGCTCGAAGATATTGAAGAAAATGATAGATAAATGAAAATTACTGTCATTAAAAATATATATATACATATTTTAAAATATAAAAATATATATATATATATATTTTAAAATTAAAAATATATATAAATATTTTTTCACTGAAATACAAACTTTATAATTGTTCCTATTATTTTTGTCTGTATACAAAATGTAGCGTGTACTTTCACATTTCACCAGAGATCATTGTAGGCATTGAAGTTCAGCAAACGATTTCTAACAAGCATACTTACTAACAGACACGTAATATTAAAAGAATGTTACAAAATGTTTGAAAAGTCATCATATTGAAACTCGAGAGGAGTGGAGGTTTTCATATTTCGTATTTCAATTTTCTTCCGATTGCCCCGCAGTACTGTTTCATAAAGGGTTTAAAAAGAAAGTCCAAGAGTCGCGATCTCCTCGGCCAATCACCTTGTTTATCACACCGTGCAACGTGCAAGGCCACGGACGGACCTCGATATCTCGATTAAGCCGAGATTTCTTCGACGTTTCGAAATCGTGGCGCACCGGTTTCCTACGCAGTCTCTTGCGTCGTCGTTATGGTCAGATACCAGATCAGATCGGCTTCCAATTAACGGGAATCACTGTGAAAATCGTCGATTCGAGTCCAATCGAGACAATCGTGAATCATTTGTCAAGTTATTTATCTGTTTGTTTGTTTATCTGTTTTATTAACCTGCTAATTGAGGGGGATGGATTAACTCGTCAGACAGGTTCCCAATTTCTTGGACACGATCGTTGATTTACTTATGGGTCTCCCATCTTTTTCATTTTATTTCTGTTACAAATAAATTGTATGGTACTCGTAACACATTCAGAGAGAAAGAGAAAGTCGATATAATTCAAGTTTTTTTTTTTTACAAATTAATCATTAGACTGATTTACTAGATGATTTGATTAAATATGTTAAACTATTTGGCATTGTATAAAATTAAATAACGTGAAAGAAGGAGAAAAAAATGAAATGAGGTGTTGGTTGTCAATTTAATAATAATTTCAAAT